TGAAAGGGCGAGCATGTTTGGTGGGATTGGGATGCGAACCCGCGACCCGCAGATTGCGAGTCGAGCGTACTAGCCACCTGGCCATGCCGGGCCCTCAGAAACTGAGAGAAGTATATGTGAATTTGGGGCATCAGGAGATAAGCCTTATGGTTAGGGGAGGGGGTACAGTTTCATTCTTCGCATTATTTTCTCTACGACACTAGGATTGAAATTTGGATTTTTGTAATGCGGATTACTTACCATTTTTTTAAAACAATACTTTAACCTCTATGATTTCCGAAGTTGATTGAAAATCAACAAATGATAAAACACAACACTCAAATGGTTGTAAACCAGTGTTTAAATTTTATAATCTAACCTGATTACTATAGTTATTACTTAACAATCTATCATTGTTTGAAACTATGGACATTTACCTCTTAGTTTTCAAAGAGCTTTTATCAAACATGGCAGCGTCTTTGATGTGTAATTTTATAAAAAACAAGTCATGTACAGCAATGTATAACTAAAGCTAACAAGTATATTAATATTTGGTTCTTACTTTAAGCTTGTACAAATAAAAACATATCATAAATATTTCTGTGTCTAGAATCGTGGCCCATGCCACTTTATAAACATATTGTTCGGAAAAATTGTGATTTACAATATTGTTATTATTTCTCACGTCTTATGTCTGCACGAAGGAAGTGTTTCTTCAGATTTATTTCACTTTGGTATATTTACTGCAATCGTCCATTTTGTCTTATGGTGTCTCGAATTTAAAGGTAACGAAAGTGCCATCTATGCTTGAATAGTAGTATGAGTGAAAATTATTATTATTTTAATGAATAAGGTATTGATTTATGAATTAGTTTTTTACAGTATTCAATATTGAATAATGAACTCAAATTACACAGAGAAATGCATATTTTGAAATTTTGACTTTGAAATTGTATTATTCAGTACATTGTTGCCCGAGCAAGGCTCCAGTAAGAGGGCCGAAATCTCGCAATTAAACGAAAAGTATTTAACGTAGAGAACAGCCCGTCTACGCTTTTTACATAATAATTTATCTATGATATAAGTTTAAAGAACAATTAGAAAAATTTATCGTTGGACAATACTTTTAAAGATACATAATGGAGCTCAAATTTACCCTACTTTAATGTTATTACAATTGAAAAAATAAATTGTTATAAAAAACTCAATAGAATGCTTTGAAAATTGACAACATTATCTGTACCTGAAAAAAAAAAAACGTGAAAAATGCTTTTCAGACGTTTTCTTTACTAAGAGATACGTATAGAATTTATTATATATTTTACCTCTAGAAATGTTTTTGTTAAGGGTAAGGAATTATAGTTTAAATTGAAGCAAAATATGCTGCTTGATGGAATATTATTATTGGTTTCTATATATGAAGGAAGGCTAATATGTAACACGTAAAGCTTATAATTTATTTCAAGTAATGTTACACTTGCTCCACAGTAAATAATCACCATACTCATATTGTGAGCTCATATATTCTTGAAATAATTTAGCTTTGCATCTATTCATGTATTATTTAATTTAATAGAACTTTTGTAAGCCAGCCATCTTTGAAAATTGAACTCTCGAAACATTTTCTAAAAAGGATTATAAATTATCATTTGCAACACGCCTCTAATTTAATAATCTCAAAATAGATTTAATATTGTTTTCTAGTGTTGTACTAGACAATGAAAGACTTTTCAAAAACTGAAGAACATAATTTTATTCATTTATGTAAACAAAATTTTCTACGTCTGTTTTCTGGTAAATTAAAGTTTTATTTGATAAAACCGAAAGGAAAGCTTCCATTCTCTCTTTCTGATCAGCGTTAGGAGCGTTTTTATCACCTAATCAAATATAAAGCTAACACTGTTTCAATGTTAAGAAACTGCCTTTAAAAATGAGTGCGAAACACTATTTATTATATTATAAAAATAATCAAAGAATGATTAAAGAGCCCATTAAATCAATTCAAGTTGACTTCGTTCAGTATTTAAATTATTAATTGCCTACTCGATTTTTTTAGAAGTTTAACATAAAAGTTTAGAAACCTTATAACATATAGATTCAACTTTCAAGCACTTACCAGCAACCACTGCTAGTCAAATGTAGCCAAATTATATTAGCTTCTTTGTTTTTATGTTATATTACCAAAATGTATGGTTGCGTGAGCGTGGTACCTTCTGTTTATGGCTCAATTTCCGGATCATTTCCTTAATTTTAATTTTCAGAACCACAGTAGTCTAAGTCAGGTTGTTGCTTTTTTTTTTTACACACGTAGTTAGATTTTTTATTAATGCACTAATCCATTATCTGGGATGCCTTTATTGTTATGGATTAACCAATTTTCCCCATTTAAGCTTTTTAAATACCTTATGGGTATCCCTTGTTTATGAAGTAAATACTATCCAAAGGAACCTTTAATATTTATAAAACACACTTTTCAAAAGTTACTGGAAAATATAGTTGTTCATGACCTGAAACCGAAAACGGTTCTACCAGCAAATTATATTGTCCGTGGAGAATAAATAGTATTTTTGCATATAAATAAAAAATAATAATTTTGAGTCTAAAATCTAATATTCATAATTCTACAATAAAACACATTTTATTTTTTGAGTTGGTTTATTATATTTTGTAATGAAAATCTAAAATAAAAGTATCACCTACGATGAAAAATATAACTCTGTATATCTATTCTTTTACATTGATTTTGCAGTGGCTTTTCAACTGGCTCATCTCCATATAGCAATTTAAAAATGAAAGGCGCAGCATTTGATAAGGCACTTTTAGATTATTTATTACATAATCTATTATACTACTGTTTTCCAACTAAACATGGAAATTGGGCTACCAACTTGTTTATGTTAATGACCATATATTTCGAACGACTAATACAAGTGTTTCAAAAGCCCATTATAGAACAAATCTGGATTTATTTTGTTACGATGAAGAAAATACATCTTCTTTTGTGTGATTTTTTTAGAAATACCTTTCCCTTGGTTTTTCGCCGCGGCATTGCGGGTCGAAGAATGTCTCTGAGTTTTTGTATTTTTTTCAAGTACAATCTTTTAGCTCGTAGCTCTATATCTTGACCGATTTGAGATCTAATTACAGCCGCGGCTATTGAGGATTTCCCCTTGTATTAAAAAAAATCACAAGAGTAACAAATTATCAAAATAGTTTGTAGTGACCAAAGTAATACATTATATCATAATTCTACGAGTACCAAAAATTTTTGGTGAACATATATTAATTGAAAATACTTTTTTGACTGTCTCTATGTATGTGTCGAAAGATAGATAAATAACGCAGACAATGTATTATCCGACTCCATTAAAAAGGTCGGGGGGAAATGTACTACTTTTCTATTTACTTGTGTAAACAAACTCCTAAATCTCTATCTTTATTTCTACAAGTTGACAGTAAACTCTCACCAGTTAAACAGTAGCACTTGTAGCCTCCAACACCATCTTCACAAACTCCGTGAACACAGGGATTTGACAAACACTCATTGATATTTATTTCACACTTTTTGCCCGTGAAGCCTGGTTGACAACCACAACTGTAAGCTGTCTGATTCCCCCAACAGGTAGCGTTGTTCAAGCATGGTTGACTGTCACAGAGGTATACCACATCATCACATGACTGTCCGTGATAGCCTATTAAAGTTGTCAACATAGAAAAATAAACATTTTGACATTAGTTTCTCTACATATTTTGTCCTTATCGTTAAAGCAAAAACCATGGTTTTGTTTAATAAATTCGGATTGTTGTTCTGTTTATTTAAAGTAATTTCAAACATCTGAAGCTTGGAGACTAATAAATCTTGCTTTAGGTCCTCAAATGGCTCAGTGGTACGTCTAACGGCTTATAAAGCTAAAAACCGGGTTTTATTACCCGCGGTGAGCATAGCACAGATAGTCCATTGTGTAGCTTTACGCTTAACAACAGATAAAAAAACACGCTTTCTTTAAGCCAACTGAGCAACACTGAGTACCATGTGCTGCTAGTTGTTTATCTAATGTTTCAAGTCTGAGTGTTGTTTAAAAGTGTCACACCATTCTGTAACACGCTTTCTTTAAGCCAACTGAGCAACACTGAGTACCATGTGCTGCTAGTTGTTTATCTAATGTTTCAAGTCTGAGTGTTGTTTAAAAGTGTCACACCATTCTGCAATAATACCTAATAAACTTATGGTGTAAAACAAAGGCTTTTAGATGCGTGTAAAGCAAATTGTTGTCATAGTATATTCACTAAAAACGTTAGATGCAAATCATGAACAAATACGTCTAGCAGTTTTTTACATAACACTTAGCCAATTCAACCAGTTCAGCGAAAAAACTTTTATGAAGCTTAGAATGCCGCAATGCCAAATGAATATCATATTTTTTATATCGTTTTCTAATCCTTTGTCAGAGGTATTTGTCATATATTGAAAATTTAGTTTGTTAATCTTTCGATTAAAATTTCGAACTAAACAAAAGATAAAGTGGAAAACTTTTTAAAGAAATAATAAACAAAAAAAATAGAATAAATGTGACTTAATTATGTGTTCAGCTAATTCAAATCTTTTCAATTTCTTTGTTCGGGTTATGTATAAGTAAAAAAAAAGAATGTTCAGGGAAAATACAATCCAATTTTTTCTAAAAATCGTTTTAAATTAACAGTCGATGAAACATTTTTATGATAAGTATAAATGCTATCTAACGAAAAATATTGAAATAGCATACCTTGAAAAGAGGATTATCGTTTTTCACCATTAAGGCCTCATTTTAATTGGAAGTGAGCCACTTTTGAGGGTTTTGTTTGTTTTGAATTTGGCGCAAAGCTACATGAGGAATATCAGCGCTAGTCGTCCCTAATTTAGCAGTGAAAGACTAGAGGGAAGGCAGCTAGTCATCACCACCCACTGCTAACTCTTGAGCTACTCTTTTACCAGTGAATAGTGGGATTGATCGTCAGATTATAACGCCCCCACGACTGAAAGGGCGAGCATGTTTGGTGGGACGGGGTTAAGCGCCCTAACCACCTGGTCATGCCGGGCCACTTTTGAGAGTAATCTCAGATTATGTCACTAAAACATTTTTCGTCAACTTATGACACACATCTGGTGGAGTAGACTACTCAACCTCTTCAAAGCATCTAAAAAGGCAGTGAGAGATTGGAAGAAGTTTTTTCTCTTTCATATAAGGTACCAAAAAATCTCAGGATGACTGGGTTTAGTTTTGTGCACTAGGTGGAAGAATTAAGACAGATATACGATAACAAGTTGGCTAAAGTCGCTTTGAACAGTACATGTTATATGGTATGGTGCATTCTCACAGACTTTCGTTGATGCAGCTAATGCAACATTGTCCAGAATGTTATGAAACGACAAGTCAATCCATAACTAACACCAGCAAACTAAGTCCAAGTCCCACATCACAATGCTACCACTACTATATTTCACAGTTGGGAATATACAATATCATTCAAAGCATTCTTCAGATTGCCACCAACTTCAGACTCCATAATGATAAGTGGGATTCATCACTCTAGCTGTTGATTTTGATTAAGAAACATGAAAATTAGCATCTTACATGAAAAGCTGTGATAGTGGCCTATGGGTTGCAACCCATCCGGGAATTCCAAGCAACATGGAATTCCCTGTGCGTAGTTATTATGATAGCTTGCAGTTCTGAAATATCATTAAAATCTTGCGCTATGGACTTAATGTTAGATATGCATTTTTTCTTCACTCGACGGATCAAATTTCTCATGAATCAAGATAACTCAAGAATAAGTCATTTTGAGTGGACAGATATACCACATTAGCATGTTTAAGTGTTTTCATTCCCTTCAATAAATTACTGTGAATGGGAATGGGTACGAGTAGACTAGCTAAAACGTTTCGGACATGCATACCATTAATGATGTATACACTATCCATTTCTCTTTGATGGCCTTAAATTGTTTTGTTTTTCTGGCGTATCGACTTCGATTGACCATATGCCACAACTGTTGGCCTTTATGGACCCGACGTAGCAGTGTGCCATAACATATTGAGGGAAGATCTATAATTTCCGATCAACCCGGATCTTGAAACTCAAATACTCACCATAATGATGATGATGCACCATAACATACAGGTGCAAATTTAATAGGATTGAGCCTGTTACAAGTTGGAGTTTTGTTGTCCCAGTAATTTTGATAGTATGATAATTTTATTTTGTTTAATTTCATTTGGTTTGGTTTGTTTTGAATTTTGAATTCTGCGCTACTCGTCCCTAATTTAGCAGTAAATGATTCAAGGGAGGGCAGCTAGTCATCACCACCCACCGCCAACTCTTGGGCTACTCTTTTACTAACGAATAGTGGGATTTATCATCACATTATAACGCCTCCACGACTGAAAGGGTGAGCATGTTTGGTGTGACGGGGGTTCGAATTATTTTGTTGAAACAAAGATGAACGTATAACTTTTTTCGATTTTACTTAAAATAGCTTCAACAGTGAATATTTATTCTCATGTTTCTGGTCTTCAATTTTGAACTTAAGAGACGCGAATAATAATTGACATTCTAAGCTGGGCGTCCCTCGGCAGGACAGCGGTAAATCTACGAACTTAGAACGCTAACATCCGGAGTTCGATTCCTCGTGGTGGACAAAGCAGATAACCTAATGTGGCTTTGCTCTAAACAAACAAACAATCTAAGCTGGGCATTTTGAAATATATATTCGTGTTCTGTTTAAGAACTCTTTGCGAACTTGCAGGCAACGTAAGTGTTCTGTTTCAAACGTGCACCACAGTTACCAGATTTGGGGGGAGGGGGAGTTCCCCATTTATAGGAGGAATTCTAACCCATAGAAAAAATGGGGTAATTTTGCTTGGGGAAAATGTAGGGAAGAGGAAAACAAATAGGGGGCTAATGGTAAAAGTGAAGGGGATTTCACTTCCTCTCTTGTGATCGATCTTCTTTGAGGTTTCCAGTAGTGATCTCATAACCTTTTGAAATATTAACCATGCCTTGTAGCAGTGATGGACTACGTCATTAGCCAGTAGTACATGCCATTCGTCATTAAGACTCGCCTTACACTCTGCCCTTCCATCTTCAAAAAGTAAACATAACTCTAGTATAATGAATGTAGCAGATAATATGTAACATGTAAAAAGTTATTTAATCAAAAATCTGTACCACTTTATGTTTTAGTCTATGTAGCGAAAGCGGCATACATTAGAAGAGAAAAATAAAGAGTTGAAGGCGATTATTATGTATTATTATTGTTAACAATAATAATAATAATTTCGATAGGTTGAACGTGAATAAAACACGAACTAAAATCGTTGACAGGATTCCATTTTCATGAACTTCTAAAATCCTAGAAAGGTTCAGAGGCTAATAAGTGACTAACTATTTATATATTTTGTATTTACAGCAAGAAATCAACAGTACATCCTACCATGAGGACAAAGACATTGGTAAGTAGTATCAACAAGTCCTTCTGTGATATCTACACAAAATCCACCATGATTGCAAGGGTTTCCATGGCAACCATCTCTCTCTTCACAATAGCGACCAATATATCCTGGGCAACACTGACATGTAAAGCTGCTCTGAAAGAAAAAAACAAAAATAATACTTTTTCTCAAATTAACTGATTTTTAAATTAATGCGACTTGAGCAAAGTAATTATTATTATTATTATTCTGAAATATGAAACGTATTTCAAACAATGAGTGTAAACAATAGTGAATTAAATAAATATAATTTGTTGTTTTTTACACTGAGCGTATACATTTATTGTCATGAAAAGAAACATTGTTTTCAAATGGCAGAATCCTGAATCCTTCAAAGCTAAACAACAATACACACTAGGTTAATACCTGGTATCTTACAAAAAAAACAACAACACTGAAATGCTTAAAGAAGTTCATAAAGGAAAGTTTGAGTTGTCATCTAAAGTTTTGTTGTTGCTTTTTAAAATTCTTTTCGAGTTTAAAATAAAATATATCAAACTTTTTATTTTTCAATTTCGCGTTTTAGACCAGAAGAGTTTAAATGTTGCTAAAGAAATGGCGATTCGTATCAAATTTATATAAAAAAATCTTGTGTGTTACTGTTTTAAATAGCTACAAATCTTTCTATCTACGGCGTATTAAAATGCAGAATTGTCATAAATCAGTGCATTACTGTAAGCTGTGAAAATCAAAGGCTAGCGTTAAATGTTTAAAATGTGTTGATCTCGAGGTGTGTTAATCTTTAAAATAAAAAATATGCATTAGAATTATTACTTTTTTCTTCTTCCACATCACAGACTGATATTATAAAATAATATGCATGAGAAACAGTACTGTTTTAGTGTGTGTGTGTGTAGAGCAAAGTAGTGTGAAATATTTTTCTTATTAATCGTAAAAACATGAACCAACTAAATATTAGACGAACGTAGTCAGTCCGTAGACTGCATGACCGTCCCTCACCCGGAGGTTCAGCTGTGAGCTTGAGGTTTTGTAACGCTAAAGTTCTGGGTTCGATCCGTGGGAGCACAGCTTGCCGATTGGGCAATTTTTTACTTAACAACAAAGATATCTTAGATTGGAACATGAAGTCGTTTACTGTGACCGAAAGCTTGTGAATTACATAAAAACCTCGCGCTATTGTGTTTACTGATATCTAGACCAAAATATTTTTTGTTCCACAGTAAGGACCAACTAACTAGAACGGTTTCACAGATTTAATGATGACCAAAGATATCGAACTTAAGAAAGTCGACCTTGGTTTTATTTCTAATGGTTGTATCTCAACGCCACTTATTTGTTTTTATACAGCTTTAGTCTAAGATCACCACGGATTTCTTGAACTTCACTCAGCTGTATAGCTCAGGTAAACCTGCAACAATATCTTGATACTCAATACACTGACTTCATGCACAAAACCTGCAATAATATCTCGATATTGATATTCATACAGATTATGCTTATTTTGTTTCGAGAACCACATTCATTGTTTTAAAACGATCATCTTACACCTGTTACGAAGCTGAGTTAGCTGATAATTTAAATTTAGTAGTTAAATTGTATTTTGGATTTAGTATTTAAATACATGCCGATATTTTAGTCAATTTACGATATTTGCCAACAAGATTGATACACACCGTCTTCGTTTTTAACATAAATTACGTTTTAATATACACACAACAATACAATTTACAATAAGTTATTACAAATAGTTATTACAAACAACGATTTATAAACAAAAGTTTCACAAACGTACAAGCAATATAAAGTCTTCTTTGAGTGGAACTTCCTTGATATTGTTACGACAGCGGCAGTCACGTGACTCTAGTAACACGTCATGAGATTCTAGAAAGATCATGTCCGTTGTGAAGCCTCGAGTGCTCTCCTGACGCCCTCTATTTCGTATATATAAGACCGGCGAGAAGTGACGGCATATAGATATATGAATAATTGCAGATTGAAGAGAGAGAGAGACAGACAATTGAGTCTAGCGTGGTAGTAAAGTGCGTGAATCGTTCGTTGTGAATTATAGCGTGTGTTTAAGTTAAAATGACTGTGGAAATTAAGTGTATTGCAAAGTTGAATTGAGAAATAATAAACTAGTTTTAATTAATAAAGAACTTGTATTGCTAAGTTTTTTGGAAAGAATTTCTACGGAAAATTAACCAACGACCAGAGACGTAACAATATCTTATCGAGGTTTCATGATGAGCGAGTTAATTAGAGATGATGTATATATAGGATTCGCTGGGAAGCTAGCTAGCTTTGTCCTTGGCCACACACACACTAGGTTTTCCATGACGAATTTATATGTCCGATGAGAAACCACTGAAGTTAATGATTTGTAACGTTCGAAATTTATAAATAGTTCT